TGGGACTAGTCACTTCATATTTGGTTTAAAACCGTTACCGTCAACCAGGTATTCAAGGCACTCAAAACTAGAAACACAAAATGAACACCAGTTTAGATTTGCTGAATTAATTTTCTCAATTAAACGATAAAACAAAGCAATAAGTCTCTGATCATGAGCTACTTTATCAAAAATATGAATAATAATATCGTCCTGATAGACTTTAACACCGTCATGCACGTTTGCTTCAACAAACGGGGGTTCAGTGTGGATCTGTCGTCACAACATATTCTAGGGAGCTTGCCATCAAAATTCAAGCACGTAACGATAGAAGTACCCCACGCTAAAGAATAGATCGGTTCATTTGTTCTTTTTGTGCACAAATAATTAAATGTCTTTAGTACTGCTTCTCAAAGACCATATGGAATTATTCGTATTTTAAGGCAAACTGGACCACCCTTTACTTGAAGTTCTAAAATCTGAATTCTCATCCCTTCACTGCACGTAACACACGCATCTATCAAATCTTTAGTTAAAGTATCAATCCTTTTTAAAAACTAATAAACACAATTTTTGCTTTAGGCTTTTCCTAAATTTAAACCCAGTATTACTAACTGAAAGCCCACGAAGCATGTATGAAGAACTATTATTTATAGTTAGAAATTCACAGTTTCGTTGTATAGGTAATTTTTGTCCAGCAATCTTCAATAATGAGGCTGCAGTGGGTCATACTACAACACTATAATCTGGAGATTTCAGGTTCTTGAACGAAATAATGAACTCTGTACTGCCTGTGTCACTGAATGAACCAAGCGGCCTGTATAACAGCTTCTGATTATGGATATTAGGTTTCGAAATCGTGGACAAAAATTAATGATAGTTAGAAACACCCGACTCAACAGAATCAGAGCAACGAGGTTTATCATCACTAGTGTCAAAGTGAACAGTAGCTCTACAAACCGACTTGTTGTGTCCCAGTTTACCGAACTTAAAGCATTTGGCTTGACGAATGACACGTGAATTACGAAAGTGATATTTACCACGGGATAAACATTCTCAAAACCTGTGCCCACATCTGTCATGGTCAATTCTTTTCGTTTGTTTCTATTTGAAATTCGTTTTTTCGATGTCTCCCTCCAATTCCCAGAGCGATTTTATTTAGTCAGCATCTTTTCCCTTTCCCTTCAAGACTCCGAGTTGTGGTTTGCCTCGCGATACATTCTGATTGTTTCTACACTGTATGTCCTATCCGCCCTCCAACGTCGTTTCCTAATACCTTCTTTGGTTCAGGAACCCGAACACAATTATAGACCACACACAAACCAGATGGTGATTACAGGTAGAAACATTATTTTCGCTGCACTTCACATTCAGATGAATCACACAATAATCTTGCAACGGTCGCTCTTATTTCTTTCACACTCCATCACTTAAATATTCCCCTTTATTCTCACTTTGCGCATTTTAGTTTACAACATATGCAGCAGCAGTTAATATCAGTACAATCCTAGTCACAAGAACGATGCCTCCCATTAAAAAAGTAGTATTTTACAGATGTCAAAATCCTGCATTTTAATCATAAGATTAATCCCTTAGTTCCTCTAAAAAGATGCTTGGAAGTGAATATAATTAGTTTTTTTAGTTAACATATTCTGAAGCAATTTGAATACTTTGTGCATTATATTTATCAAGATTATATTACCAATGATTATAATGGAACATCAAGAAAATGAACAACTCCGCCTGTAGCTCTTATAGGGTTGCTGCCGGTCCCAAGCCCGGGTAAAGGAAGAGGGTTGGGCATGGGGTTAGCGTCCCCATCCCGTAGAAAACTAACTCGCTAAAAAAACGCTTACCAGAAAAAATAATCCAAACCATTTTAACTCTGCCCTGGGAGTTAGAAGGTCTTCATTTAGAAGAATTATGACGCTTCATGGTGAAAGCCGAGTTCCTTCGGAAGCCACGAGGCCGATGCCCCTTCTAACAACCAGAACAAAAATTTTTATAGGTACATGGAACGTTCGAACAATGTGGGAAACCGGGAAGACCAGTCAAATATCAATGGAAATGAGGAGATACAACTTAGTAGTACTGGGAATCAGCGAAACCCACTGGACCCAAGCTGGACAGAAAAGGCTAGCTACGGGAGAGATGCTGCTACACTCCGGTCACGAAGAGGACAATGCTCCACACACTCAGGGAGTCGCTCTTATGCTGTCCAAAGTAGCACGAAATGCACTTGTAGGATGGGAATCTCACGGATCCAGAATCATCAAAGCATCATTTAAAACAAAGAAGCAGGGGATCTTAATGAATATTATCCAATGCTATGCACCCACCAATGATAGCAACGACGAAATTAAAGATCAGTTCTACGAGCGGCTGCAGTCAATCATTGAGAAATGCCCAAAAAAGGACCTAACTATTCTGATGGGAGATCTAAATGCCAAAGTCGGAATAGACAACACTGGATATGAAGATATTATGGGACGACATGGACTGGGAGAAAGAAACGAAAATGGAGAAAGATTTGCAAATCTATGTGCATTCAACAAATTGGTCATAGGAGGCACAATATTTCCACACAAGCGTATACACAAGGCTACATGGATCTCACCGGACCACACTACAGAGAACCAAATAGATCATATTTGCATCAACAAAAAATTCCGAAGGACAATGGAAGATGTGAGAACCAGGAGAGGTGCTGACGTAGCTTCAGACCACCACCTAGTTGTAGCCAATTTGAAACTGAAGCTAAAAAAGAACTGGACAAGTGGACAAACAGCACTACAAAGGTTCAATACAGCCTTCCTTCGAGATACTGACAAACTCAATGAATTCAAGATAGCTCTCAACAACAGGTTCCAAGCCTTACAAGATCTACTGAAAGAAGAAGAAACTACTATGGAGGACAACTGGAAAGGCATCAAGGAAGCATTAACTTCAACTTGTCAAGAGGTTCTGGGTCTAAAGAAATACCATCATAAGGAATAGATCTCTACAGAAACACTGGACAAGATCAAAGAAAGGAAGAACAAGAAGGCAGCAATAAACAACAGCCGAACACGAGCAGAGAAAGTCCAAGCACAAGCTGAATACATAGAAGCAAACAAACAAGTGAAGAGGAGCATTAGAGCCGACAAGAAGAAATACGTGGAAGAACTAGCAACGACGGCAGAAAAAGCTGCTAGAGAAGGAAATATGAAACAGCTTTACGATACAACGAAGAAACTAGCAGGGAGATACAGTAAACCAGAGAGGCCGGTCAAAGACAAAGAAGGCAAGCCAATCACCGAAATTCAACAACAGCGTAACAGATGGGTAGAATACTTCGAAGAGCTCCTGAATAGGCCGGCTCCAATGAACCCACCGAACATCGAAGCAGGACACATAGATCTTCCTATAGATGTCAATCCACCAACTACGGAAGAAATTAGAATGGCCGTCAGACAAATCAAGACCGGGAAAGCAGCGGGACCCGACAACATACCAGCTGAAGCACTGAAATCAGACATCGAAGCAACCACAAGCATGCTTTATCTTCTATTCAAAAAGATTTGGGAGGAGGAACAAGTGCCGATGGACTGGAAAGAAGGACACCTCGTCAAGATTCCAAATAAAGGAGATCTGAGCAAATGTGAAAACTACAGAGGCATTACACTACTGTCAATACCAGGGAAAGTCTTCAACAGATTGTTGCTGAACCGGATGAAGGATGCAGTAGACGCCCAACTTCGAGATCAACAAGCTGGATTACGTAAGGATCGGTCGTGCACAGACCAAATTGCAACACTACGGATCATCGTTGAACAATCAGTTGAGTGGAACTCATCACTATACATCAACTTCATTGATTATGAAAAGGCATTCGACAGTGTAGACAGGAGGACGTTATGGAAACTTCTTCGACACTACGGAGTTCCTGAGAAGATTGTCCATATTATCCGGAACTCATACGACGGACTACAGTGCAAAGTAGTGCATGGAGGACAGCTGACAGATGCGTTCCAAGTAAGGACCGGAGTGAGACAAGGCTGTTTACTCTCTCCCTTCCTCTTTCTTCTGGTGGTCGACTGGATTATGAAGACCTCAACATCTGAAGGAAAACACGGAATACAATGGACAGCTCAGAACCAATTAGAAGATTTGGACTTCGCAGATGACCTAGCCCTCCTATCACGTACACACGAACAGATGCAGATGAAGACAGCCAGTGTAGCAGCAGTCTCTGCATCAGTAGGCCTCAGCATACACAAAGGGAAAACTAAGGTCCTCAAATTCAAAGCGGAGAACAGCAATCCAATCACACTTGATGGCGAAACTCTGGAAGATGTAGAGTCCTTCACATACCTGGGAAGCATCATCGATGAACAAGGAGGATCCGGTGCAGACGTAAAGGCGAGGATCAGCAAAGCAAGGGCCGCTTTCCTACAATTGAAGAACATATGGAACTCAAAACAACTTTCAACGAATATCAAAGTGAGAATCTTCAATACGAACGTCAAGGCAGTTCTACTGTGCGGAGCTGAAACTTGGAGAACTACAACAACCACAATCAAGAAAGTACAAGTATTTATAAATAACTGTCTACGCAAGATACTCAACATCCATTGGCCGGATACCATCAGCAATAGCCTTCTGTGGGAGAGAACAAACCAACTTCCAGCTGAAGAGGAAATTAGGAAAAGACGATGGAAATGGATAGGACATACATTACGCAAATCGTCAAACTGCATCACGAGGCAAGCCCTAACTTGGAATCCTGAAGGGAAGCGAAAAAGAGGAAGGCCAAAGAACACATTGCGTCGGATAATAGAAGCAGATATGAAAGCGATGAATTACAACTGGACGGAGCTAGAAAGGATTGCCCAGGACAGGGTTGGATGGAGAATGCTGGTGAGCGGCCTATGCTCCTTCACGAGGAGTAACAGGCGTAAGTAAGTAAGTAAGTAAGAAAATGAACGAGATGGTGAAAAAAAGTTGCAATTATTTTATATAAAAAAAGTGTTAGCAACTTTTTATTTTGGAACAGCACGTAAACAATGCGTAAACCAGAGTAAGGATGAAAGTAAAACAACACCACCGCATTGATGCAATGATCCCAATGAAGCTGGTACATAACATAATAAAGTTGTTATGCCAAGTAATGATTGTCCTAACACAGCACTAAAAACCAAGTGTGCAGCATTCCTAATACGTGGTCCTGTACATGCTACACCTAAACGCATGACATTTGCCCATAATAAACCTGTGGTTAAAACTGTTGTATAAGCTAGCATTCGATGAGTAAATTGAACTGTAGTTGGATTGTCCAAAAAGTTCCCCACAGTAGAACCATATCGAGATACAATTAAATCATCAGGAATCCACTTATCAGCCATTTTTGGCCATGAATTATAGATTAATCCTGCATCAAGACCAGCCACAAAAGCACCTGAATAGTAGTAAACAAACAAAAAAAAATTTACCACCAATTCAACAAAGAGTCAATCAAATGTTTACCGAAAGAAGAAAATATAGAACAACAACATAACTAATATCAAAAACTTAACTGGAAATCCCAATGACAATAGACAATGTTTCAAAAAAGAACATATCCAATCTTTAAAATCTTAATAAAATTCCAGTGTGTGTCATATGTCTCCTTTTCAGAGTTAGAAGTGATAGTTTCTTTGAAGAATAAAATTTTAAATATTGGCAATGCATATACACCAGATAAGCATAGAGTCCACTTGATGATCAACCCTGATAAGTGATGTGTGGTAATGAAAGTAAAGTATGATTGGTTGTTAAACGTGGACAAACAACCACAGCATACGGACTATTAAATATATGATTTTCCTCCTTATCATTGATTTCTAGTTCGGACTCACTGTGTGTGACTGCTTGTAATTATTAATCTGGTTCTCTATTCTGGGTTGTGAATCCTAGTTCTGATATAACGTGATTAGTCTTATTAACGTATTATCGTAATGCACGTGTAACAGAGTAAAATGTTGTAAACCATCCGTTATATCAGTAAGGTCTTACATTAGGTCATCAATGCTACTATTAATGATTTCTTGTAGTTTTCAAAATATTTGTGAAATGACATACAGTCACGTGAGACTTATACCAGGCACAAATATGAACCGATTCAAGTTACCACATCACATTAGCAATATCAATCCTAATCCCAAAATAGAAGTGTGATGTGTGCTACTTATATAGACATAAGTAGAATATACGCTAGTCGGGACTAGAATGTCTGGCAACAGAAACTCGAGGGGGAAAGAACGGGAACAGAAAGCAATTGGTATGGAAATGCGGAACATTGAAGTCCCAGACGATTGACTGATATTTGTAAAAGGAACAGTCAAGCTTGTGACAATTGATTGACATCTTGCAAATTGAGTATTCACTGTAGAGTTGTCAGATTTTACTGAGATATTCTGTAATTTTATGTTCAAAAACATTCGATTGTTACCACTTGTGTTTTCGTTCACCACAGTAGTACTAACAATATTAGTAGGAATAGAAAAGATTAGGTATTGGGTGAAAAAATAAAGTAAAAGGTCACTATCTGACAACCCAAAGCAAAATAATGGTAACGGAAATCTCGACCTTTTCAAATATTTAAACGATATAACAGAGCCTATTATTCAATCTATCAATAGTCCGATGATTTATTTGAGTTTAACTCTGAAGAAAGAAAAAGGGATGTATCCTAATTGGACTATGCTTCTTAACTCATTATAGCCTCTTCAGTCAGTGGTTACGAAAGTAGAACCTGGCATAAAAGTGTTTGCCCAAGTTGATATATCATATCAGTACAGTGAGTGATAAAAAACCAATAAGATCTATACAAAACAGCAATGGGTAACAGTAGCATTGGTGACAGTAAAAAAGGTTAAACATAGCAGATATGGCTCGCAAAAATGATCAAAATCAAGGAATTAGAATCATAGGATATCATTACTCATGATTTGTGATAAGTCTTGCTAAATGAGTGCTCGATCCGACTTACTAGACGTTTCTAGTAACTCCAGGCTAAATTGACACGATTACTTGAAAACAAGAGGAAAGGCGCGAAGTGCGAAAAAAACTTTACCTCAAGGTTAGTTTGTGTACGGAAAAACGAGGATATTTATAATACTACAGATGATTGTACGGTTTTGAAATTTTCCGGAACCAAAGCAAATATAGTAGCAAAAGAGGTAAATATCCAATCAGAAACGTAACACTTGGCAATTTACATTCTAGATGTTTCTGGGAAGCTTCTATTCAACATTGACTGAATAAAATGGTTCCCAGTGTTTTCTGAACCCATATGGACTTTTCCGAGGAATACTTTGCAACTCCCCAAAAATGCATCCATCTATTCATTGAAACATAAGGAAGTGACAAATATATGTGTGCCACACAATAAAAATAAGGTAGTGGAAGGATAGATGAAGGAAAGTGAGCATAATAAAAAGAACGATAATTGGAAATTAGTGTATGAAAGTGAAATAATAATAATAATAATAATAATAATAATGGGGTAGATCAGTTGGAAAAATACAACCAGAAATAACTCTTTTAGTTGAAGAAGTTACTCTCACTGACCTCTTTCAACGTTCACAAACCAATAAAGATAGGACAACAGATAGGGTTGGCTTTGTCTCTAGAGAGTCTCAACATCGACATATGTTGTCTATCCGAGACCCAAGATCCTAGTAAACTACTACAAGTTCACTCTCTATCTGTTGCTTCGAAAAACTTGTTTTACGCACGTCTATCCAGGGACCCTGTGGAATCGTCGTCTGCTTTTGTTGGCGTTGGTGTCACAACAAGCGCTAGAGCTGAAGCAGCACCAATCGATCGGATCTCCATTAACAGCCGGTTATGTGCTGTTAGATTAGAAAGCCCCATGAAAATGAGAAGAAATCGGCGTGAAAAACAATGTCTTTTCATTGTCTCTGCCTACGCTTTGACAGACTGCAGCCCGGATGTGATCAAGAATGAGTTCTACCACCAGTTAAGTGATCAACAGAGAGCGAGTTCTTATTTCACTCCAGTACATTAATCTCTAATGATTGTTGTTCTTATTTTTTATTATACTCACTTTCCTTCCTCTATCCTTCTACAACTTCATTTTTACTGTGTGGCACATATATATGTGGTACCCCCTTACGCCAATGCTTATATGTTTAAACAAATAATAGTGTATAACACACTTCTAGGGCGCACCCTTCTTCAAAAGACAACCCAATAGAACACTTCTGACACTGAGTGGTTTTGAACCAAGGTCATATCTGGTCATCAGCCATAAACTATGGTTATCTCTCCGACAACAACCAGATAGTTTTATCCCCCTAAGATAGCTCAGAAAAAAACCGGCAGTCTGTGAATTCATGTAGTGATGCAACGTTTTTGTTTGACTGACCCTAAATTCCTTCCGATTTGCTCTTACTCCTATTATTCTAAAACTAATAACTGCGAGGTTTAACACGGTCACACAAAGTTATTAGTTGACTAAAACTGAATACATAAACACTCTTGAACAGCTAAATATTCTTGTGCTATAGATATGAAATATTTGCAAGCAATTTCTGTCCAAATATACATGCGAACTGAAAAATAAATAAATAAAAGCTTTTTCTTACCATAAATTATGGTTGTAAACGTTAGAGCTTTACCCATATGACCATATGCTTTAAGTCGTTTGACGCCGCTGAATGGTTTAACCTGTTGAAAGAGTTTATAAATTAAGGCATACTCACAAAAACCGATAGTTTGAATACTACTTAAGCATTTGTATTAAAATTCAGAAGTGAACTATTAATTTAGCTTTGCTTTTTATATTCAGTGAAATCAGATGCTAAATTCGATTGCAAACTGTTATAAAAAAAGAATCACCCTGAAAGTTAAATCAAGGCTCAGAAACACACCGGCAATCTGTGAATTTTTGTAGTGATGCCACATCTTCCCTTTGCTTTATTCTCGCAATGGGGTTAGGCTGAACTTCTCAAACTTACGAACTTCAATTAAGCTTTTCCACATATGACATTCTGGAAACAGGTCACGGTGGAGTAAATTTGATGCCTGGAGAAGGACTTTCCGATCGTGAGTATGCCAATTTCATCTAATTGTATGGTTTTACTCATCAAATGAAAATCTCAGATAATCAGTCGGCAACAAGTGTCTGTATGTATGGTTTGTATTTTTTGCTGCTAAATGAAAAATATTTTTACGGGAATAACAAGAGCGGATTCCAACACTCGTTATGGTGAGCCGTTCGAAGTGGTGGAAAAGTTCATTCTTTTGGAGAGTTGGGTGAGTGCTGATGGTCAGGCGATTGGTTAGATCGATTTACTTATGGGGAAAGTCTGGCCGGATGCGATCAAAAATGAGTTTAACCGCCAATTAACTGTTCTTCTACAAAAAGTGTGTTCAACGGATATTGTGGTACTTAGCTGAGACTTAACTCCGCCTGTAGCTCTTATAGGGTCGCTGCCGGTCCCAAGCCCGGGTAAAGGAAGAGGGTTGGGCATGGGGTTAGCGTCCCCATCCCGTAGAAAACTAACTCGCTAAAAAAACGCTTACCAGAAAAAATAATCCAAACCATTTTAACTCTGCCCTGGGAGTTAGAAGGTCTTCATTTAGAAGAATTATGACGCTTCATGGTGAAAGCCGAGTTCCTTCGGAAGCCACGAGGCCGATGCCCCTTCTAATAACCAGAGCAACAATTTTTATAGGTACATGGAACGTTCGAACAATGTGTGAAACCGGGAAGACCAGACAAATATCAATGGAAATGAGGAGATACAACTTAGTAGTACTGGGAATCAGCGAAACCCACTGGACCAAAGCTGGACAGAAAAGGCTAGCTACGGGAGAGATGCTGTTATACTCCGGTCACGAAGAGGACAACGCTCCACACACTCAGGGAGTCGCTCTTATGCTGTCCAAAGTAGCACGAAATGCACTTGTAGGATGGGAATCTCACGGATCCAGAATCATCAAAGCATCATTTAAAACAAAGAAGCAGGGGATCTTAATGAATATTATCCAATGTTATGCACCCACCAATGATAGCAACGACGAAATTAAAGATCAGTTCTACGAGCGGCTGCAGTCAATCATTGAGAAATGCCCAAAAAAGGACCTAACTATTCTGATTGGAGATCTGAACGCCAAAGTCGGAATAGACAACACTGGATATGAAGATTTTATGGGACGACATGGACTGGGAGGGAGAAACGAAAATGGAGAAAGATTTGCAATTGTGTGTGCATTCAACAAACTGGTCATAGGAGGCACAATATTTCCACACAAGCGTATACACAAAGCTACATGGATCTCACCGAACCACACTACGGAGAACCAAATAGATCATATTTGTAACAATAAAAAATTCCGAAGGACACTGGAAGATGTGAGAACCAGGAGAGGTGCTGACGTAGCTTCAGAGCACCACCTAGTTGTAGCCAATTTAAAACTGAAGCTAAAGAAGAACTGGACAAGTGGACAAACAGCACTACAAAAAGGTTCAATACAGCCTTCCTTCGAGATACTGACAAACTCAATGAATTCAAGATAGCTCTCAACAACAGGTTCCAAGCCTTACGAGATCTACTGAAAGAAGAAGAAACTACTATGGAGGACAACTGGAAAGGCATCAAGGAAGCATTAACTTCAACTTGTCAAGAGGTTCTGGGTCTAAAGAAATACCATCATAAGGAATGGATGTCTATAGAAACACTGGACAGGATCAAAGAAAGGAAGAACGAGAAGACAGCAATTAACAACAGTAGAACACGAGCATAGAAAGTCCAAGCACAAGCTGAATACATAGAAGCAAACAAACAAGTGAAGAGGAGCATTAGAGCCGACAAGAAGAAATACATGGAAGAACTAGCAAGGACGGCAGAAAAAGCTGCTAGAGAAGGAAATATGAAACAGCTTTACGATACAACGAAGAAACTAGCAGGGAAATACAGTAAACCAGAGAGGCCGGTCAAAGACAAAGAAGGCAAGCCAATCACCGAAATTCAACAACAGCGTAACAGATGGGTAGAATACTTCGAAGAGCTCCTGAATAGGCCGGCTCCAATGAACCCACCGAACATCGAAGCAGGACACATAGATCTTCCTATAGATGTCAATCCACCAACTACGGAAGAAATTAGAATGGCCGTCAGACAAATCAAGACCGGGAAAGCAGCGGGACCCGACAACATACCAGCTGAAGCACTGAAATCAGACATCGAAGCAACCACAAGCATGCTTTATCTTCTATTCAAAAAGATTTGGGAGGAGGAACAAGTGCCGATGGACTGGAAAGAAGGACACCTCGTCAAGATTCCAAATAAAGGAGATCTGAGCAAATGTGAAAACTACAGAGGCATTACACTACTGTCAATACCAGGGAAAGTCTTCAACAGATTGTTGCTGAACCGGATGAAGGATGCAGTAGACGCCCAACTTCGAGATCAACAAGCTGGATTACGTAAGGATCGGTCGTGCACAGACCAAATTGCAACACTACGGATCATCGTTGAACAATCAGTTGAGTGGAACTCATCACTATACATCAACTTCATTGATTATGAAAAGGCATTCGACAGTGTAGACAGGAGGACGTTATGGAAACTTCTTCGACACTACGGAGTTCCTGAGAAGATTGTCCATATTATCCGGAACTCATACGACGGACTACAGTGCAAAGTAGTGCATGGAGGACAGCTGACAGATGCGTTCCAAGTAAGGACCGGAGTGAGACAAGGCTGTTTACTCTCTCCCTTCCTCTTTCTTCTGGTGGTCGACTGGATTATGAAGACCTCAACATCTGAAGGAAAACACGGAATACAATGGACAGCTCAGAACCAATTAGAAGATTTGGACTTCGCAGATGACCTAGCCCTCCTATCACGTACACACGAACAGATGCAGATGAAGACAGCCAGTGTAGCAGCAGTCTCTGCATCAGTAGGCCTCAGCATACACAAAGGGAAAACTAAGGTCCTCAAATTCAAAGCGGAGAACAGCAATCCAATCACACTTGATGGCGAAACTCTGGAAGATGTAGAGTCCTTCACATACCTGGGAAGCATCATCGATGAACAAGGAGGATCCGGTGCAGACGTAAAGGCGAGGATCAGCAAAGCAAGGGCCGCTTTCCTACAATTGAAGAACATATGGAACTCAAAACAACTTTCAACGAATATCAAAGTGAGAATCTTCAATACGAACGTCAAGGCAGTTCTACTGTGCGGAGCTGAAACTTGGAGAACTACAACAACCACAATCAAGAAAGTACAAGTATTTATAAATAACTGTCTACGCAAGATACTCAACATCCATTGGCCGGATACCATCAGCAATAGCCTTCTGTGGGAGAGAACAAACCAACTTCCAGCTGAAGAGGAAATTAGGAAAAGACGATGGAAATGGATAGGACATACATTACGCAAATCGTCAAACTGCATCACGAGGCAAGCCCTAACTTGGAATCCTGAAGGGAAGCGAAAAAGAGGAAGGCCAAAGAACACATTGCGTCGGATAATAGAAGCAGATATGAAAGCGATGAATTACAACTGGACGGAGCTAGAAAGGATTGCCCAGGACAGGGTTGGATGGAGAATGCTGGTGAGCGGCCTATGCTCCTTCACGAGGAGTAACAGGCGTAAGTAAGTAAGTAAGTAAGTAAGTAAGCTGAGACTTGAATTTTCAGGTCCAGCGACTGGGCACAGAAAAGAGTCGTTTGGGTAACCGATGGGGACTTTTTGGTCACAGATCAAATAGCGGTGACCGTCTACCGCATCTGTGCTCAGACTAAAACCTGATTCTGGCTAGCACTAACAACCGGCACAGTCATCACTGATGTGCTAAATGGCCTCCTCGCTCTTCATCTCAGAGCTGGATTCAGATTTATCACATCGCGATCAGCTAACTCTGGCATGGTTGTGTACAAACCTTCCGCTCGTTATGGAGTACCTATCTGGACTGATCAGCCCACTCTTGTTTGCACTAACCTCACCTTACTTTTCAGTGGACAACAGATTCATCATCCTAAGCCGATCGATATCAGTAAATTGGTTGCAGCTTCTGTTGCAACTAAATATCAAACCGAGCTAGGTTCAAGGCTAGCTACCATCCCACCGAAAAGTATAGATCGGCATTGATTGCAATCGTATGACGCCATGAAAGTGGAGAGTTAGTCGTTTGCGGCTTTGCGAAATATCTCGGTTATAGGTACTGGGTTCCATCAGTTTGCTTACAATTCAGTGAAGCCTGTCGATCTACTCCGTACGACCGCGAGTTTGACTGCAAACGAAGACTGTCACGTAATGAAACTGAGAAAATCATGCTTAAGGATCGAGAAGCCTGATATTTGGAGCCGGCCAATGAGCTGGAAGCAGCAGCTGTGTCTGGTAACCGACGGAAGCTCTTCTAACCCATCTGAGTCACTGGTAGCAAAAAGTCTGATGTGAGTGAAACAGTCTGTAAAGATTGATTCTTTTCTGGCCGACGATATGTCGATATTTTCACCTTACGCCAAAGGTTAGAGCACTGTTATACTCACTACAGGAGAACAATTTTATTGTTTCCTCACATTAGGGCCGCCTTCGACCCGTTGGACAGTACTGTTTTCTGAGATTCTCTATTGAAGAACAACGTGCCT